GATAACCTGATCTGATGTTGCCCGTCTTGAGATAGACTAAAGCTTAGTACGCTTTCACCGGAATCAAAGGAGATTGCCTTAGAAACAGAGTTAATATAAATGTTACAGTACAACCTATTGACAGCCGGCCAAGTAAAATCCGCTGTCATTTTCTGGTGGGATCGAACAGCAAATCTATTCACCAAACTCTTTCAGCCGAAACGGAAGGAAGCTCGACAATTATGAAACATGAGATTCTTCGCAGGTCCCGACTGTCAAAACAAAACCTTATGTTAAATTATAGGGATAAAAATTTAGTAATTCACATTGTGCTTTGCTAACCTGGAATAGATTTGCAATAATAATCGATTCTTGACATACTCACCTTTTCATTTTGTAAACTTCCAACTGCACAGATTGTTACTGATTTAACATAATTCCGATGAAGCACAAACTGGTCTGCACTCATGTAGAGAGCGATATCCCAAGCTGAAATAAACACATTATAACGAAATATTCAAAGAGATATGCTGTGGAACATTACTTTCTTCATGATGCACCACATCTTATCGACTATGCAATAAAAAACTTAGAAAATAAATGAAATAATTGAATAGACACCTTTATATACTAACAAGCAAAAAGTATTCAAAAAATATGGCTCGAAACTAATTGAATAGAGGATCCGGCAAAAACTAAATGACAGAAAGCAAGCACTTTTAGTAAGTGAGTTCAGCAAAAGGTTTATTGCATCTAATCAATAATGATATGCTTAAATAATGTTGAATCGAAAAGCTATGTTTTGATATTCTTCATACCTTAGTTAGAGTTTGAGTAGAATCTGATTTTAAGGAAAAATGGAAAGGGCCTTGTTGGAATGATTTCCATTTCGTATAAAAGTGCATTAATAAGAGATTCGGAGGTTGATCTCACGAGAAGACAACGAATGATTCTTGTTGTAGTACAGACGTTTGGCTTTAATACGCCGTTCAAGTTAAAGCAGTCCACGAGACTTCCTTCTTCATTCTAGGTTAAAATGGGCTGAGTCTTCGTCCATCATATAACGGACGTCGTCAGAGCT